CATATAATTATATCTCTCTTGTCACGTATGGCCAGATTAACTGCTGCTGAAAAGCAGCGTCTTTATAGACAGCGCAGAGATGCAGACCCAGTTCGAAGAGCAGAGTACCTTCAAAAGAAACAGCAGACCTATTTAAAAAACATTCAGTGCAAAACAAGACTGAGAATAGGAGATCTTCCAGAGAGGGGAAAGAGAGCAGCAAGGAAGAACTGGAGAATATACTCACCTAAAGGATTATTAGGAACACCTGTTCAATTTCTCATTAATGCAATTATCTAATCAACCAATCACATGGCAGTTGTTTCAATGCATTTAGGGGTGTGGTCCTGGTCAAGACAATCTCCTGAACTCCAAACTGAATGTCAGAATGGGAAAGAAAGGTGATTTAAGCCATTTTGAGCGTGGCATGGTTGTTGGTGCCAGACGGGCCGGTCTGAGTATTTCACAATCTGCTCAGTTACTGGGATTTTCACGTACAACCATTTCTAGGGTTTACAAAGAATGGTGTGAAAAGGGAAAAACATCCAGTATGCGGCAGTCCTGTGGGCGAAAATGCCTTGTTGATGCTAGAGGTCAGAGGAGAATGGGCCGACTGATTCAAGCTGATAGAAGAGCAACTTTGACTGAAATAACCACTCGTTACAACCGAGGTATGCAGCAAAGCATTTGTGAAGCCACAACACGCACAACCTTGAGGCGGATGGGCTACAACAGCAGAAGACTCCACCGGGTACCACTCATCTCCACTACAAATAGGAAAAAGAGGCTACAATTTGCAAGAGCTCACCAAAATTGGACAGTTGAAGACTGGAAAAATGTTGCCTGGTCTGATGAGTCTCGATTTCTGTTGAGACATTCAGATGTTAGAGTCAGAATTTGGCGTAAACAGAATGAGAACATGGATCCATCATGCCTTGTTCCCACTGTGCAGGCTGGTGGTGGTGGTTTAATGGTGTGGGGGATGTTTTCTTGGCACACTTTAGGCCCCTTAGTGCCAATTGGGCATCGTTTAAAAGCCACGGCCTACCTGAGCATTGTTTCTGACCATGTCCATCCCTTTATGGCCACCATGTACCCATCCTCTGATGGCTACTTCCAGCAGGATAATGCACCATGTCACAAAGCTCGAATCATTTCAAATTGGTTTCTTGAACATGACAATGAGTTCACTGTACTAAAATGGCCCCCACAGTCACCAGATCTCAACCCAATAGAGCATCTTTGGGATGTGGTGGAACGGGAGCTTCGTGCCCTGGATGTGCATCCCACAAATCTCCATCAACTGCAAGATGCTATCCTATCAATATGGGCCAACATTTCTAAAGAATGCTTTCAGCACCTTGTTGAATCAATGCCACGTAGAATTAAGGCAGTTCTGAAGGCGAGAGGGGGTCAAACACAGTATTAGTATGGTGTTCCTAATAATCCTTTAGGTGAGTGTATAAAGCAGAATACAGGGCAAGAAAGTAGAGAGAGATGTATTCACTGAAGATGTACTGATTTTTTCTTAATATGTTTTGTAATAAATAAGTTTGTGGATACATTATTTATTCACTGAAGATGTTCTAAATTTTTTGTTGTTGAATGTTTTGTGTTAAATAGGTCTGTGGATACATGTTTTATTCATTGAAGATTTTCTAATTTTTGTATTCTTTATTGAAACAGATTGTGATTGCAACAATTCATTGTGCAGACAATTTTTGAGAAAGTGAGAAACAGGTTGCAGGTTGTTTTAATTATATTTGTTAATGCAGTTTTTGTCTAAATGTTCTTTTATCAGAGCAATTACTTCTTGTAATCCTACTCATGATGAATTTCATTATTTTGATCAAACTTTTAATTGTTAAAACTTTTATGCAATATTACATCTGTGGTGTTATATTACGTCTTTGGTGTTCAAAACGTATCCGACATTACTTTCCTTCAGAGCCATTTAATCTTATAATTTAATGTTTTTAGACTGTAAAGTGGTTTTAATATTTTAGAATAAAGACTATAAAGGTAGCACAGACCATTTTTCCTGCCTTTTTATGTATATACATTTAAAAAAAAAGAAGAAACAATTCTAGTTGTCCAATGGTGTGACGCAATGTCCTGTGGTGTGACAAACTGAATTAAAAGTGGAAAAGGCATTTTAATGCACAAATTAATGTAAAAAATGTTGAATAGTATAATAATGATATCATCACTATGCACATATAAGGATGAAATTAAGCTTCATTAGGTTTTATACCAATTATAATGAATATAATCCAGACGTGTGGGTAAAGTCCCTATGTGTACATCTTATAGTAGGATAATAACATGATTGTGAATTTTTATTGGTTACTTTTGATGTGGGAATATAGTTAGGACAAATTGATAAGGATTGTGCATATTTGTCTTATCTGTCACACAATCTCTGAATTAAATATTAACATTAAAAATGTTGTCACACCGGTGGACAATATGTGGGACTATCACACAAAAAAAGTTAATAAAATGCTAAATAAATAAGGAATTAGAGCGGGACACATTCAGTTTTGAGTTTTTCACATATTAAGCAATATAATTATATGTCATTTGACATGCATTTTAGAAATATATTTTTTTCCACTTTGGATTTGAGTTCACGTCAACCACCCACATATATATATATATATATATATATATATAAAATGACTAATGTAAATTAATGTAGCATTTACATATCTGTAACAGGGGTGCGTTTCCCAAAAGCAACTATGGTGCATGTTCCATTGATCTCTGTTGGTAACAGCAGAACTTGCAACCATAGTTGCTTTTGGAAAACGTACCCTTGATCAGTAGTCCAGTTGACAGTAAAGCCATTTATAATGCTACAAAAGATTTTTCTTTTAAATAAATGCTGTTTTTCTTGAATCATTCAAGAGTCCTGAAAAGAAAAAAAAATCCACATCCACAATTAAAATGTCATAACTGGGCCTTCCGGTGACATATGACTTCACATGACTCCAATCATTTAATCTAGCTTAAAGGGGTCATATAATGCCATTTTTGTACAAGCTAGTATGATTCTTTAGGGTGTAAATTAAAAGTTTGTAATATACTTTAATTAAAAATTCTCATTAGTATTGTAAGAAAACACTTATTTTACTTGGTCAAAAACAGCTCTGTTTTCAGCACGCCTTTTCAGTGCATATGACTTTGAATGATAATGAGCTTTGCTCACCCCGCCTCTCTGTTCTGTGTGTACACCGTTTGTAACACAATAACACAATAACCACAACTCGTTGTTCAGTATAAACGTGGGATTATGAATTATATTGAGAACATCATACATAGAAAACATGCCGTAATGTACCTTAAGTGTAAACCTTAGACGCATTCATTGTGAAGCATGCAGCTAGCGATTTGCAAAGATTAATATAAATATTAATATAAAGTTTAATAAAACGTTACACTCACTTCAGTTCTTCTAGAGGTTCAGCAGGAACACGAATAGCTGGTACCGATCCTTTTTTCATGAGCAGCTTCTTAGCAAAACCAGCTCATACTGACCCTCGTTTATAAAGCAGTCTGGTGAGAAATGATTCGCGCAAACATGAGAGCATTGACGTTGCTCGTGGGGAATATTCCCTTCGAAAACAAACTCAGCCACTGCGTCTTCAGCGGTTCGGATTTAAGTACATTAAAATGACTGCTGTGTTCGTTATTACACCCAAGAACAGAACACCACAATCGCTTAGACGCCATTCTGCTCATAGACAGTGCTCCAGCGTATCAACAATGACCGCGCCGGTCCGCGCAGACTATGATTGACAGCTCGCTCACGAGCGAGGGCGGGTCTGTTGAAACGATGCTGTCAATCAACAATCGTGGGAGGGGCTTCCGAGTGTGTGACGTCACAAAATCGAACGGCTCAATTTGAGGCAGGGGAAAACGTATAAGGAGATTAAAACAAAAACACTGGATGGATTTTTATCATTTTATGATGGTTGTGTGTACAGACAATGCCAACACATTTCAGTACAATCAATTTGTAAAAGTGCATGTACCATTATATGACCCCTTTAAACCCCGCTCTTACAAGCTCACATTCATCTGCCTCCACTTTTGAGTGCAATGCCCACATCTCTAAATCCAATCAACAACTGACTCTTAGAATCCTGCTCTGCATTTTTTTAGTCACAAAGGAGATGAAAAGGTCTGACACTACTTTCATTTCATAGCCAAAATCGTAAAGAGTTTGTCATAAATATGTCTGTATTCTGTAATTTACAAATCCTTATCCTAGTTAAAAAAGCTTTGTTCGTTAATTAGTTTTTGTTACATGATGTTTGCTCAGTAGGCCTAACTAATAAAAGCTGCAGTGATGATGACTGAAAGGCAGCCATCGTGAACTGGGTGATGCTGGTGAATTAATGAATCCTACTATGGTAAAGGCTTAGATAATAGATATCGGCATAGATTTATTAATTAATGATGAATAGTATGATGCATTAGAGCTAGATTATTCCCATTACATTCAGCAAGGTTGTATACACTGCAAGTGATGCAATGTGCTTTAGGGAGTTTTTATTCTGATGGTATTATGTACAGAAATGTGTGAATTTTGACTATTTAAAGTTGTGCGTCCAAATAATTTTCATTCGCAATAGAGCGCTGGAATCCTGCCTTTGAAAGTGCTGCCAATTTGGAAGGATGGTCAGAATCATCTCAGATATTCATTGTGTGTATAATTCAGGTTCATTGCAACTTGATGGAAAACCAAGTACTGTCATTTTCACCCACCTTTTACTGTTGTGCATTGTAGAATATAATTTTAGAGCACTATTAAGCCTCCAGCCTTGTAGCCATGGTTACCCCTATCCTTGACTGTATTTGTGGTGTATCCATAGCGATCACCTTGGGAACAAGAAAAGACCATTACACCAATTTAGTAGTCTTATTTGTTGATTTATAGCATTAATCTAACTGTTGAATGATCATTTAAATACAATGCATCATTTTGATGTATGTTTTTTTTGTATCTTCTCCAGATTCGACATGAGGTGAGCTTCAAGAACGTGACCCACAAGATCTGCAGTGACGCGTGCTTTAATCGCTACCGAATGGCTAACGGGCTCATTATGAACTGCTGCGAACAGTGCGGGAACTACCTGCCAAGTCGTGCCACAGCAAACCACTTTTTACTCATCGATGGTCAGCAGAAACGCTTTTGCTGTCAAAATTGCATCAGGGACTATAAACAGGTCAGTGTTTTAGTTTGATGTTTTAAAGTCCTGAAAAATTCACTCATTCCTTTCAGCTCAGTCTTTGATTGACATTCAAATCAAGAAACACTACAAAGTCAAACTGTAAGGTCCACATCCCACAGTTCTGTGAAAATCTTATTGCACATTTGTTTCTGATTTAAAATTGTGATTTAAAAAAAAAAAGCTTTGCTATGCTGGTTTTTAATGATAATAATATGTATTATTATTACTAAATAAAAATAAGAAGTATTACTATTATAATATTTCACTGTAAAATAAAATCAATTATTTAAGAAAAATAACAATATAAATTTAATTTTTTACAATGCAACTGTAAAATTACAATACTAACATTTATGGCTGTCCAGAAGTTTTCATTATCTAATTTATTCTCAAATGCATGATATAAGTGACTCAAACTCAGTGACTCAAAATTAATTTGTGTGGAGCAGCATGTGCTGTGAACCGAGGCACTCTAAGACACTTAAAACACCTGATCGTGCTGCACGCATGTAAAAGAACACGGGCTGTGCCTCACTCTGAAACACGCAACGCATATTTAAATAAATCTGAGCCTTTGTAATTTGATAATCACACCAAGCCATTTTGCAATTTAGGCTTTGTTTTGATTAATTGTGCAGCCCTAGTTTTGATGTTTTTAGTGATTACTTTCAATTATTCTCTTTCCACAGACTCATGGGAAGATAGTGCAGTGTAGTGGCTGTAAGGTGATGTGCAGATCATTTGATGCCACTCAGTGTATTGGGTCAAATGGAGCCATGGAGTCTTACTGCACCACAGCCTGTATGACCAAGAGTAAATTCACAGCTGCTGCACAGAGTGAGTAGATAATCACAACCTAGAGCTGATATTGCGACTCTCACTCAATGAGTGCCAAACGGCCTACATTTGTGTTCCCCTAATGCCTAAGTTTGATGTGGATTTCATAGCATGTGTCGAATTTGTGAAATGTTGTCCTCATTTTTTTGTTCTGAAGTACATATAATGGCCATATAGTTTTTACCACATTTATGCTCACCAGGCAATTTGATTTCTACAAACTCGGGAGTCGGAGATTTGAGGTCGGAAGAACTGAGTATCTGTTATAAATGTCAGCTAATGTTTGATCTGGTTTGTATTTGTAGATTCTGAGCCCTCATGCCACTTCTGTAAGAGAAATGCATTACCTCAATATCAGGCAACTCTGCCTGAAGGGAAGGTTTTGAGTTTCTGCAGTTCACAATGTGTCACCAAGTTCCAGGTACTTCAGATGCTATTTTAGCTTTTTATATCTTGCATTTCTGTAGAACACTGAGTAGAAGAACTCAAGCTAGTACATGCCTCATTAAATGTTAGGAATGTCAATTTCTAAGTACACAATAGTAATGTTCTACTGGTGGCTTTATCCAAATGCCCCCTGCAGAATGCCACCATCCAAACATCAGCCAATGGGCAACTTCCTGTTTCAGCTTCAGAGAACATTCAGCTGAAATGCAATTACTGTCGTGGTTCCTTCAACCTGAAGCCAGAGATTCTGGAGTGGGAGGTGAGAGCATTTTCAATTAGCCTATTATTTTGTTAGATTTAAATCTTTTAAAGGAATTCTTCTCCTCATTATTTTTGTTGATATTTATATTTTATTTTGTACTTTATATTTCTAAGTTACAAACCACAGACTAGTGATGCAACCCTCTACAATGCGAGTAAATCACTTGCACATGCGACCAAATTTCACTCTAGGCATCTAAAAATATATTTAATTAGCCTATGGCTAGAAAATGGTACAATTACAGTCACCTGGAATTGAGTGATTGGAAGGAAGAAAAAAAAATAAGTTTAGCGCAGATATAATATCATTGCCTACTGAGCTTTATGCACCGTCGCTTGGCTGAGAGCGCCCTCTGTCACTTTCTCTCGCAAGAGAAAGAGAGAGCACATGCAGGGCTCGTTGACAGAACTGTCACTGTCCTGATAGGACCAGTGCAGCGTTGTCATGAATGTTTATTATTTTTTGCACGCATTTTTAAGCCTTGCCAATTTAAACATTCAAGCGCAAGATGTAAAAGAGAAAGCCGTGTCTGACAGTATGTGAATACTGAATTAAGCTCTCTTTCACGTACTCTTGTATTCTCTTTCACGTATTTTGTCACACAAAATTGTCAAAATGTCCATCTTGTCGAGTATCCAAGTAAACATAGTTGGTTATGTCTTAAGTGAACGTAAACAGTCGAGAGAGAAAACGCATGTGTACAGTAACAATTTATTGGATCTTAAAGTGACAGCAGCCTAATATTCCTGCTGTCTGTTTTTAATGTTAATCAAACAACAGACTCACTGCAAATCACTCAATGCTCTTGACTGAATAACTTTAGGGATTCACCTTTATTTAATTTTGTACAGTGAAGACTATGCGGTGTTATTTTACATTTGATTACGCTACTTTATTCAATTTCTGTAACTAATATGTATCTAACTACTGTTAGATATACCTGTAAAATTCGAATAGCACTGCTTATTTTAATTTGCATCTTTGTTCTATTGTTTATTTGTGCTATTGCTTGTAGTTTGATTTATTTGTTCTTATTTTATTAGACTGTTTACTTGACTTTAATAGTGTTTGAAATTAATATTTTTATATATTTGTTGAATTTTGTCATTTGCATTGTTCTTGCATTCCATTTGAAAAGTCTGGCGAGTAAAATAAAGTACTAGCCAATGGCGACTCGAGCTCAGTGTGTCAGTAGAGGGTTGTGATGTCTGAAATAACAAAAAAGCACAGTAAATACACCAAATCAAAACCAATAACATAATTTTATTTTGTTGTTCAACATACAAGTTTGGAATGACATGAGGGCAAGAAAATAATGGCATAATTTAGATTGTTGGCCAAACTATTTGCCTGAATATCTGATCTCTGCAGGATAAAGTCCATCAGTTTTGCAGTAAGGCCTGTTGTGATGACTACAAGAAGCTCCACTGCATAGTGACGTTCTGCGAGTATTGTCAGGAAGAGAAGACTCTGCATGAGACTGTGAAGTTCTCGGGGGTGAAGAGGCCCTTCTGTAGTGAAGGTCATTATTCTTTTTACAGTCAAACATCTGGGCGCGTTTAACGGCACATTGTCCTGTGATTAAATCTACTGCTGTTCACATCATGACTTGCTGTGATTTTTATCTTTAGGATATGAGGACTGTGTTCTAATGAATTTGATGTATTATTTTAAATTATTTACAAAATGTATTCATAATGACAGATGTGATCTATCTGGCTGAATTTTTATCCCTTCTGCAGGCTGTAAGTTACTGTTCAAGCAGGATTTCACCAGGCGTCTGGGCCTGAAGTGTGTCACTTGCAACCATTGCACCCAGATGTGTAAGAAATCTGTCACCAAACAGATAGACGGAGTCAGCAGGGACTTCTGCAGCGAGACGTGTGCTAAAAAGTTTGACGACTGGTACTACAAGGTACACTGATTTGATCATTCCTGGCTTTAAGATCATGTGACCAAGTCCTGATAATTCTGCTTGTTCACTGAACACAGGGGATTGTACGGGACTGACATATTGCATTGAACTGACATTTGAAAAAAAAAAAAAAAGGCTTCCAGATTAAAATACACAGTAAATGTAGGACTATTATGAGGTATTGCATTTTTATGGAATCTGTTGATATCGGAGATCTTTCTTTACTTTCTTACTTTCAGAAAAATTTCTGTTGGAAATTATAGTAATCATCTTTGACCCAAATCTGTGCTGCAGTAATTTGAAATATGTATTTCTCTGTTGTGTCCACTAGGCGGCGCGCTGCGACTGCTGTAAGGTACAGGGGAACCTGACAGAGTCTGTGCAGTGGCGTGCAGAGATGAAGCATTTCTGTGACCAGCAGTGTCTCCTGCGCTTCTACTGCCAGCAGAACGAGCCTGACATGGCCACACAGAAAGGCCCGGAAAACACAGCTTTAGGTATTATATAAAACCCCACATCTGGAAATATGCACATTTAAATCATTCTGTCGTGTTTAAAATGAAATCCTTTGGTCCATTTACAGTGTTTGGAGGACCAACCCAAGCATCTAAGATGGTGAGGGTGCTGTCAGTTTTGACTGAATCATTCTTAAACAAGAAACTACAGATTGGCACATAGAGTAGTCGTTTCGATTCACTGTAGTCCATTCTTATTGTGACTCTTACAGTCGTTTACTCAGGGGCCTGTATCGTATGCGGGGGGAGGGGTCCTGAAGGATGTGAAGAATAAAGCTGTGCTCTGTAAGCCCCTCACCATGACCAAGGCCACCTACTGCAAACCCCACATGCAGAGCAAACCGCTGCAGACAGGTGAGCACCTTCTGTTCTGTGACGATACAAATGCATAAAATTTCTGGAAAAGAACGAGGGTTATGTGCTTCTGTCTCTGCTTCCCCTCAGATGAGGCAGGCCTGGAGTGCTCAGGAAAGGAGTATGTTCCTGTTCCAATCCCTGTTCCTGTTTACATCCCAATACCCATGAACCTCTATGCTCAGGCCACACCCACTCCTATTGCAATACCTGTACCGGTAAGTGTTTCCTCACAGACTGAAAGGCATCATATTGTTTTCAATTGCAGTACGTATATAAATATATTTATACTATGGGCTGTTAATTGCTTAGTCTTTGATTGGTTTTGTAAGGCTGTCTAATTCGATCCAATGGCGGTACTCGATTAGAGGTAAAGGTCTCACACGTGTTCCGTCTTTTCTCATGGCAAAGGGATTTTTAATTAAATGCAATACATTTTATCTTATGTATTAACTCGTTATTTCATCTGACTCCATAAATGAAAAGGTTTTTCAATGATATCTGTGCATCATTAAATATAAGTGAATATTTGACTATTCCTTTTAACTCTAATGAAAATAAAGTCAGTCTGTTAGAATAATCAAGTATAACAATTTATTATGTCAGGTAAATGTATAATTACAATTTCATAATCAATTGAAAGATAATCAATGCAAACCATCAAATGTTCTAGAACAGAGGAAAATCTTTTACCCGACATTATGAAATGCATGAATGCTGAGTCTCGGCGATCCTCAGCATTCACGGGCTGATCTGAGATACAGAAAAGGCCCTGATCCTTCCGCTGCATTTCATTATATAGCCAGACCTCATTTCATATGTAAACATGAGTTCACAGTGTAAATTTACTGTGTTCACTGTGGAAATTAGCATTGAGTTCACACCTTCTGAGAGCAGGAGGGTTTACCCATCCACCCTCCTTTGTGTGTATGTTATCTAAAAACCTTATTATTACCTTTTGTTTTACTTATTTGGAAATAGGACACTTGTACCAGTCGCACTTGTAGACATTTCAAATAATACTAAACACATGTATAAACTGTATGATTGTTGTTCAAATTAAAACCATATAGATTCTTATGTGAGTTTGGGTGATCTCTGCAAGAGTGGGGGATGCGGGGAAGAAGTGTGTGTGTGAGCGTTCAAATGTTAATTTGCCAAGGTCTTTTGTCTCATAGACCAGTGGTTTATCTCTTCAACCAGTCTTACAGTTTATTAGCGTTTTAAGCAATTATTTTCCGGTAAACGCACAGCTAAAGTAAAAAGTTTCAGGCAGTTTTTGTCCGCATTACAGATCTGTATCCTTCGCCAAATTAGCAGCAAAACAAAACAGCAAAAGAACCAAAACCCACAAAATAAATCTATATAAAATAAATCTAAAACAAACAATAGGCTAAAAATTAGAGGTGCACCGATTGCAATTTTTTATTTTTATTATATATAATTATATTTTTAAGTGTAACCTGCCAATACTGATTTTTGCAGATTTCTTTCTAAGAACTATAATTGGCGGCATATACAAACAAAAATCTACTTTTCTTCAATTAAAATTTTTAATTTTTATAAAAAAAACACAAAGTCAGTAATAAACAAATTGCAAATAAACAGCACAAATAAATGCAATAGTATAAAGAGAGATATGAAAAACACGGCTTTAAGTTTTTCAGGTGGGTCTAACAGTAGACTATATTCAGGTAAGAAAAACTCCAGAAATTGAAGTAATCAAATGTAAAATAACACTGGATAGTCTTCATTATCAAATCAAATTATCAAAACTTTTATTACAGACTCAAGGTCCAAATCTTACCCACAACAATACATGAATACACCATAAACGCACATGCATACATGCATACCTACACATAAAAACAAACAAAATAATTGTTGTTCTACCAGAAGACAATTATACCATTGTTTCCACATACGGGATTGGTAGCGTGTAGTACTTAGCCGTATGTTAGTTAAGCCCATTATTATTTCATGTTTCATTATAAAAATGAAATGCAGATTAATCCTTACAAGTAAAGTTACAAAAGTTATTCAGTCAAGAGCAGAGAGTGATTTTCTTTTTTTTCTTTTTTATTACATGACAGCAGCAGCATGGTTTATTTTGGTCTTAAAGTATTAAAATGGCAAACTTGGTGTCGTCTTTACTCACAGTAAAGAACTTCCAAGCCAACGACATGTTTACATGTGGCTGTGAGTGTGAGCGTGGCTGTGACGTTATTGCTTGCGCCGTTGGTAACAAAACGGGCCGGATCGAATTTGGAAAGACGTGAGACCGATCCGGGCCAAGCATGTGGAAAATCGGCCAGTCGATCAGTGCATCTCTAATAGAAATGACAACTATTTCCATGAAATGACATATTACCTATGGGAAACGCTCTCTCTCCCATACAAACACATACAGTAGACACATACGCGCACACGTTTCTCAGTAGCAAGGTGGTAATGTTGCTGTTCTTGAAGCAGTTAAACTTACAGCTTTGCTATTGGTAGAGACGCTGCTGCTTTAATCAATGAATCTCTATCTCTGATAACTACATTAGTCTGCATACCAATGAGATGCGTTAGAAATTAGTCCTACACACAAGAGCATTTTAAGGACAAAAACCTGACAAATGTCTTGAAATAAAACATCTGAACAATGTCAATTGAGGTGTGATGACAAAGTCCATTTGTGAAAATGCTTTGTTGTACTTAAATTCTTTTGTTTTATTATGATATATAAAATATGATATATCTATATTGAATTTAGTTTCTTCACAATTTATTTATTTTTTTAATCTATTTTATTCAAATGTGAGTGGTTTAAAAGATATCTTATCAACAGTTCTTACTTCATGGAGATGACCCTTATTGATCTCTGGCTCGTTCTGGTGCTTTCAGGTGCCTGTGCCAGTGTTTCTACCAACCACGCTGCAGAACGCTGAGCAGATTGTGAAGACCATCAATGAGCTCAAAGCCAAAGTTCCCTCTGACCCCCTTGAAGCTGATCTAATAGCGATGGCTGAAGTGATTGCACATGAAGAAGATGAGAAACCAAAATGCTCAAGTATGTACCTGTTAGGAGCCATCCACCTTTGACAGATGGAAGCAAGATTCTGCAAGTCACTGCTTTTACCTCACACAGATTCTCATTTCTCAGCTTTTTGACACCCTCACCACTTCTGCTCCAGTAGCAATCCCACAATCCCTTCTTTATAGGGATGTGCCGAAATCATAATTCTGGCCGAATAAATACAAGTCAACACACCAATACAAGTAACACCAAAATTGGACAAAAAATATATTAAAACTAGGGATGTTAAAGGTATAGCGGAGGATCTTTCCGAATTTTAGAGAAGACCCGCCCTCTCCAATTTTTTAAAAATGCACATGCGCAACACTCTATTTGCTCCCGAGAGGGAACGCCTATTAAACTTTTACTAGCAGTGATTTTAAATGGATTTCTCCAAATAGCATGACAAACTTTACCTGTCTAGTAGAATCTTCGCGACTGCGGCATCAGTGGGAAGCCCAACCTGTGCTTTTAGCGCACGCCAGCGTGTGAAATATTCACCCAAAATCACTCTGGTCTTGTTTCTATATTCTGCGGCCTTTCTCTTCTTATCATACACTTTGTATACATTTTTTCTCTTTCGACCCTCAGCCATTTTTAAAGGAATGGCTGAAACCGTAACTCATCACACATAATACACCTGAAAGTGCGCATGCGCAGAAAGCGAAAACTACATAGGGACGAGCACGTACGACGGCCTTACGTAAACATATCACCAGAATGATTGACACTTAGGTGGACCAATAGTATAGGCTACCCACCCGGAAAAAGAAAATCCTCCGCTATACCTTTAACAATTAATCGACGATTGATTAATTGTCGATAATACATTTTAATTAGGGATGCACGATGATATCGGGACAACATCGGTATCGGCCGATAAAAGCTAAAATGACCATCATCGGCATCGGCCGATATGAATATTTCTGCCGATGAGTCTTGCCGATAGGGTGGCGTGTTTCCTATGCGCATGTGACGACCGTGAACAAAGCATGAGCGCCAGCAACTTAAACTTCCAACTAGGAGTGTGCGTCTCACGGTTTTTGATCATGGACGATTAAAATGTCTCCACGATCTGCTTTTGAAGAAAAATCATAGTATCGTGCATTCTATCAGTTCAATTCTGGCGCCTTCATCTCAACATACTGTACAACGCGACGTACATTCACATCACATCACATGTAAACGCAGAGGTAGAGTTACACTCACGGGACACCGCAATTCACAAAAGTTCATTGTTTGCATGTGCGTCAAAGTCTTGCTGGTTAAACATGTCATTCGCGTGCTGATGCGCTGTTCTAACATCCGCTTTTCTGAGCGCGTACACCCGACGCTCACAGGAACTAAAGCCTGTCACAGCGCCTGCATACTGGACTAACTTATCTTTCGAGTCTTATTGCGCTGATACTGTCAAATACACACAAGGTTTACATAAAGTTGGTTATGTCTAAAGTGAAAGCAAACAGAGAAAATCTGCGTGTCAAATGCGTGTATATTAGACGCGTCGCGTCCCTCGCGTGCAGTTCTTAAAGAGACAGTAATAATATTCTGCCGCTCGTCTTTAAAGAGATACTGCACCCAGAAATAAAAATTCTGTCTATCTAATGTTGTTTCAAACCTGGATTCATTTCTTTCTTGTGCTTAAATATACTATGGAAGTCACTAAAGTACAGCAACTGTTTGGTTAGCCACATTCTTCCAAATAACTTTTATAATTTCAACAGAAGAAAGAAACTTGAGAGAGTAAATGATGACAATTTAAATTTTTGGGAGAACTATCCCGTTAATGTTAATAAAACAACAAAACACAGAGGAAATCACACACTGCTCTTGACTGAGAACATTAATAGAAGCTTTAATAAGCTTTTTTTGCACTTAAAAAAAAATACAAATATATCGGTATCGGTATCGGCATCGGGCAAAATTAGTTTGAAAATATCGGCATATCGAATATCGGCCAAATTCCTATATCGTGCATCCCTAATTTTAATCGATAAAATGTATTGATTGGCGATTAAGCAGGTTCATGCGCGTGCTGCTCAACCGTGAAACATGTAAAGCGAGCGCGCCAGAGTTATGTTTGGGACCATTTTACACCTTCATCATGACTATAAGTTTGCATGTGCATTCACAGCCTTTTGTTTTGTGCAAATGTAAGTTGTACTATTGTGTTTATTTTGTGTAGGGCTTTATGATGCATTTGGTTAAGAATTAATGCTGTAGTGTGCGTTGATCAGCTTCAGTGTGCGCTGCTCAAATGGCCATGCACGACTAATACCAGTATTACACTAATACTATGATTGAGACTGTCATGTTACATAACATTATAAAGAGAACAATATTGTAATTAAAAAAATTGTGAATTATTTGGGTTTCGTTGCTGTGTTTTATCGCGTTGCTCCAGGAAGAGCGCGTCCACAACATGAGTCATTCTGAATGGCACATAACTTAGTTCAAGTTCACATGTGCATTCACGTCATTTTGTGCAGATATAACTTGTAATATTATGTTTATTTTGTATATATCTGATTTCTCATTTAGGATGCGTTTCTTTGAGTTAAATAACGCCCTAGCAAAGTTCTCCAGTTTACCAGTGTTCATTCAGCGCCCGCAGCTCAAACAGCAATGCACGACAAAAAATAACTATGATTGGGACTGTCATATTAAATAACATGTGAACACTATTTTATTTAATCGTTACGAATTCATAGGGTTTAGTTACCGTTTTCAGTGCTTTGTTCCAGAAAGAGCGTACACATTCTGACAAGCACGCATGCCCTTTATTTAGATTTAAAAACCCTTCTCATTCATTTGGTGAGGAACATGCATTTGCAGACTCTGTCGTGCTGTTGGCCATATGCCACTGCAGTTAACAGAATCAGATTTAAGATTAATTTTTTGACCAAATATCAAAATAAAGTATAGTCCTACAAAGCTATTATTATCAGAGCATGTGAGCAGATAGGGGGGAGCTGAACAGTGAACGAGATTGTAGCGTAATTTTCCCAGCGTTTCCCAGCACGTCTATTACAGCACAGTAAAGGGCTAATGCAAAGAGAAACAAGTCTACTACAGAGATTTCATGTCAGCATGTTATTTGAGCAGACTTTGCTTTTCTGGTGAGCGTGAGCGGTACATGAGTGGAGCATTTGCTTGGACCATGACTTACCTGCTTGACAGAGTCGCTTTGAAGTTGTGCATCTTTGGAAGTGGTGCCACTCGCAAAGTTACAAAAAATGCTGTGCGAGAGTGAAACCTGAACGATGAACACTGAGGGGCGGGGCGGCATATATTTTCGGCTCGTGTTTTCTGCCTTGCCTTTTTTTTTTCTGCTAAAAAAATGAATATTTAATTTTCGCTCAATCGTTTTCGCTGGATGAAATTTCGGTGCATCCCTACTTCTTTATAAACCTGTCTTTTCTCTCCATTCACACTGCACCTGTGTTTCTTGTTAAAATGACTCTGCATGTCTATTGTGTCTTCTTGAACCCATTGTGTAGAATCAACCAAAAACACCTTTTTTTTGTAGGCATCAAATGTGAAAAGAGCAGTGGAGAAGTGAAGAAGGAAAGTGTAAAACATGAAAATGGTAGTGGTAGCTCAGAAGAGGAGGAGGAGGAAGATGACAAGTATGAACCAGATTTGGACCTGGAGAAGGACCTGCCCCTTGGTACTGTACCACCAAATGAACACGATTGTTATTGTAAAAGATTTGCATATTATTTTTTTTAATGTTTGGAGGGAACATTTCCCTTTTTACCCATCGTGATGTCTACCTTGAAGTATTTTCTTCTGTTAATCTCTCTGAATATGTTTTCACTGTTTCCAAATCGCAAAATTGTATGTAGTAAAGACATGTTGCTCTGGTCTGTTCCAGCGACAGAACCCATCCTGGTTGAGCGTCTAGATACAGACATGCTCTTCTCGTTGCCTCCAGTCCTGGCTGAGGAGAAAGAGAAGATGCCTCGGCCCAGAACCAGGAGGAGGGTAATGAACGCATCCAGCCCAATAACATCACAATCCAGTGCTGTCCTGTGATTAGAAAACCATTTGCTGTTCACATGCTGATGTGTCGTGATTGCTGAAGTTTTATATGAGGCTCATAGTCACAGAGGGGGCCGATTGTTAACAATAACTGTGTATATGCTAATGTTTCTGACCTACTTTTGCTGCAGGGTCAGAAGAGGCGGGCAGTAGAGGAAGAGTCTTTATCCTCGTCACCAACAGTAGAGTCCTCAGCAGCAGAAACCTCTTTCCTCTTGAGCTCCAGATACGGCTTAAACGCATGGAGGAGATGGGCAACATCTGAAGCCTCACCGTCCAGTCAATCCAAAGGAAAGGAGAGCCAGAAAGAAGGTATTCGTCATAATTGATCTGTGCTTAGTTCATTCAGTTTGATGCTTGATTTGTAGATTGTAATGCCAGCTGGTCCCAGGTAGGGATGTAAACGGTTAATCGATTATCGATTAATTGTCGACAAGAATTTACTCAATTAAATTAATTGTCGGCTAATTGAACATTGCGAACGTGACACGAGATTCTCACGTGAGAGACCCGACACAAACTTGAGGCGGCAAAAAAGAAACCAAACATGAGGCGGTCAAAACGGAGTGGACTACCAGCTATATACAGCTTGCTAACCTCGAAAATCCAGCTGTATTCTAACAATAGCTTAGCTCTCCTTATTAGCTAGGCTCCTTGCATGCTGGCTAATAACTTTTTTTAAAGCTGGGTCTCAAACTTTAACAGTGGCAGCGCTGTGTTGGACAGATTTGTGCAGCGGTGTTCCATGAGGGAGTGAGAGCGCGAGAGGTAGTGCTGCGCGAATGCAATACGGCGCTCTGCAATCAAATACGATTTTAAATAGGCTTAGTAAAAAAAAAAAAAACGAAAATCAATGTGTTGCGATCAGCCTTGATATTGTGGCAGGCCGCCACAAATAAATGAACGTATGGGAAACTCTGCCCTTCCTCAGGGATGATTTAAGTTGTGTTCTATATCAGTTCTATATTTGAAGTTTCCAGGTCTAGTAATTTTACTTTTACCTTTCTCAGACCAAGGGGGATTCAGACCAAGTACGTGCTGCTGCTAATGTTTGACGTTTTTCATACCAGTAGTTTAGATTATTATATGTAGGCCTAATATAGTGTAGGCTAAGCCTACCCATATAGATTTTTATTTAAAATGTATTTTATGTCGCTTAATGTTTCACATGCAACAGATGAGCCAGTGCACAATTATTTTGTATGTATTTAAATTTTCTGTGCATAATTTATTTTGTTAAACTACATAAATGCCGTTATCTGTACCGTATCCCAACTGTTACAATAAAACATCACTTGAGCAATATAACATGCATTTTTATTAAGTATATAAGCAATATTTTGCTTTTTATGTTAAAGACACTATTGATACCGTGCGAAATTTACATTCTCATGAAAATAGCCTCTTATCAGTTAATCGTTAATCGGTCGATCAACTAACGATTAATGAATTAATCGATAATTTGCATCCCTAGTCCCAGGGAAATTTTCATAAACTTTTGTTTGGTTTAAATGTGCTCAATGATTATAACTTCACTGCTGTTCACATTCTGAAACCATTTTGTTGATCACTTTGAGTTATGAGGGCACTTTTTTCGATACATATGAATTGATTGTAGAATCATACTCTTGCCATGTTCCTGTAAACAAGTGTCTTACAAAGTCCTAAAGATAATCTTAAAATGTCTCTCTATGCTGTACTGATGTTGCTCAAGGTAATTTGTTTTGTTTCTCATGGGCAGTTGGTTTAAAAGATAGTCTCCTGTCCCTGAGCCCAGCAGAGCTGAATCAGTCTTTATCTTGCTTCGTCAAAGAGGTGTGTCGTCCCAACGGGGAGCGCTATACTCCAGACAGCCTCCTTTACCTCTGTCTCAGCATCCAGAAGGTGAGACTGTTCACATCCTGAGTCTTGCACATGCTTGTTGCCCATTAAAGCTGTAAAAGAGGATCATTAGACCAGTGCTTCTCAAACACCCAATTTAAGTCTTGCAGTCTTTACTAATGAGCTGGTGAGTTGAATCAGGTTTGTTGTTTAATGTATTAGACAAAAGAGCCTCTTGTTAAAAAGGGCAGTGGATCAAATTTTAAATTTTGCATTTCAGTAAACCTCTGCATTTGATATAAATGAACGTTACGATGTGCTTATGGAAATACAATAATATGCATAAATAAAAATGCATAGATGCAGGTTTTTTTTCCAGAGTAAGGGTGTACAAGATTATTGTGTTGGTGTTGATTAATAATAAATTGGGGTGTTGATTAATAATAAATTAATTAAATAAATAAAAAAATCCAATTGTAGCCTTTGCTATTTTATTTGCAGATATACAAGTGTCATTATGCTTGAATTTGGTTATACTTTTATTAATTTTTGTATCACACCTTCTTGTCTTTAAGGTGTACAAGATTAATAATAAATTAATTAAATAAATAAAAAATCCAATTGTAGCCTTTGCTATTTTATTAAATAAATAAATTAAAAAATAAATTTTAAAATTAAAAAATAATAAATATTTATTTAAATAAATAAAAAAATCCAATTGTAGCCTTTGCTATTTTATTTGCAGATATACAAGTGTCATTATGCTTGAATTTGGTTATACTTTTATTAATTTTTGTATCACACCTTCTTGTCTTTAGATCAAAGTAAGGATTCCCCGATATTAAAGTTGTCTGATATTAATAAGCAGATAATTGCCATCCCCAAAAATCACCCATAGAAATCAATGGAAGACTATCAAAATTGCTTTATATAATTTGTCAAAAAAAGGTAATTTACTATGCATAAAGAAAACAAAAATGAAGGGGTGATATAACACATTCACGATTTTGTCAGAAACACAAACAAAAGTGGACCTTTTTTTAAAGTGAATTTCTGTGGAGACACCCAAACTTCAAAGCCATCTTGTGATGAGACAATCCTGAATAAAATTACAAGTCATACTCCTAGTTCAAAATCAAAAGTTCCCATCAATTGAAAAGGAGAAATAAAGAGACCATGATCAAGTAGTTAAGTTGTGTTTGAATTTAAACACTGCAGGAAACTAGGTCTAGGCTTGAGCACTCCTGGGTTAAGTGGTGTCCAGTGATTATATCATTTGCTGTTCACATCCAGAAACATGATGTTGATGCTTTTGCTATGAGGACACATGACACTGCTCATTGGAAACTGACCCAGTCACTTTTTATTAAAGGCATTTGTCTTGTAATGTGCTGTCATGTTTGTGTTATCACATTTTGTGGGTGTTTTGTAGTATTTGCAGGACAAGGGAAGGACAGATGACCTCTTTAGTGACCCACAGTACCACATGTTTGGGGAAGAACTGAACAAGCTCCTCAAAGACTGGCAACCCTGTGTCCTTCCTGATGGTAAGTGTGAAGATATCATTCTAATATGACTGTCATTTTGAGATGTCCAATGATTATAACTATTGCTGTTCACATTCTGAAAAGTGCTGTTGACTCAATCCAACTATGAGGACATTTCGCACACAAGAAGCGCTCAGTAAATTGAGTCTTTCCTTTTACCTGATTTTGAATGTTGTGTAATATTATTGCTGATTAGAAATACAATAACATAGTTTGCATGAGCTGTCATGATCATTGTTGTTCCAGTGTTATGTGAGTGGTTTTGTATTGAGGTTCTCGGTGGGGTCGTGTGGAAGAGCGGTATCTGTGGAGCAGCGGTCAGCTCGGGGAGCAGACACCCTCCGTCCTATTGAGATCCCTCCTCTATCTCAACACCAAATACTTTGGTCTTCGCACCACTGAACAGCACTTACGCCTCTCGTTTGGAAACATCTACGGCCCTAGCAGTTCCAAACCGCACAGCCATGAGACCACCGTCTGTATACGCATCCCCTCCATCTCACAGGAGCAGCACGGTGTGTTCCTCTGAAGCACTAATCCATAGCAAAATTAAATGCGTTTAAAATCTAAAGCATTTAAAAGTTACTTTTTACATATATATTTTCATTAGTATTGCTGTTATTCTGCAACAGATTATTTTTATTTTCACTCTTTTTGGTTTGAGCTGTTTGCTGAAATTTTGTCTGTTTTGTAACTGATGCTGAAACCTGTCTCTTTTTCCATAGAGCAATCAGGAAGTAAGAGGAGGCGTAAAGATGATTGTGACTCAAACTTTGAGGCGGACAGTGGTTCAGGAGGATCTGCTCACTGTCCTGTTAAGAAACACGAGTGCCGACTCTATGAGCTTTACCTTTCGAAGTGGTGAGTCTCACATAACAGTTTATTTGTTGGTGTGCAGATCCTTTGGACGAGCACAAGCTCTATTTTGGTGGGAAAGGGCATATGGGCTGAAATATGTGCCACCAGAAACTGAATTTCAATCATTTATATTTGAATTTGAATTGCTAAACTTGAATAATTGCGTTGAAAAACTGAATTTGAATAACATAATTTGAAATTGTATTGTTCAATTTGAATCATTGCATGAATTGTATCATTTGAAATTGAATTTATTCAAAAACTGAATCTGAATTGTATCATTTGAAATTGAATTTTTTCGTTTGGAACTGAAGTCCAATAAAATTTGATCCTCACTGAAAATTAAACTCTCTATATATCTTCACATTCACTTCTCACAATTCAGATTCAGTTCTCAAATTCAATTTCAAGTTACTGAGACAGACATGTTGTAGGTAGTTGGAGGATGAAGGAAGAGCAATCGAGCGCAGATCAATAGATAGCGTTCATTTGCGCACAGGACTCCTCTTGGGCCAATCAGCACCTACGTTTTGGAGCATACTACGTACCCGCCATGAAACAAGGAAGAAATGCTTGCCTTGCTGTCGGGGGTGCTAGATCATTGACGGGGACCTGCGCAACTATATATATATATATATATTAGGGGTGTAACGATATTTGAACCGAACCGAAAAACCGCGATACACCACCCACGATACGTATCGCGATACTCTCATGCCGAACCGAACACGCCCCGCCCCCTGCTGCCCCGCCCAGCACCGGCTCATTGCACCTCATGTGTTGTGTACACAACGAATACAGGGCTGTTGCCTAACCACCATTAACCACATATAATCGCAATAAGCTCAGTGTTTTGTTACTTTTGATAATAAGCAAGCTGTAATCTTTCAAATTATGTCTATTTGATCACGAAATGCAAACAATAAATGCCGTTTTGGCGCTCTTAGATGTGGCGTGACAGATATCACTGTATGCATGCGGCAGCGCGGAGCGCGATCATCTCTTCCTCAGTTACAGAATAAACATGAATGGACACCCGAAGGTATGTTGAAAGATACGGTATACTTACTGAAAGGCATCATAACTCGTGTAAACACTCAATCAGTGTTTCAACAGCGGAAATACGTCAATAAAACGCTTAGTTTTTCACATAGCTTTATATTTACCTCAGGCAAGTCATTCAGTGTCCACAGCTTGCTGGTTTGCTTACTCTTTCACTAAATAAATGCTATATATTAGCCTATATATAATATTTTACTTAACCTGTTTATGATATCTTGATTATTTAATGTATGTTTTAAATAGTTGTCATGAAAATAACAGCAACTGTGTAAATTATTATATAACAATAACAAATTAGAGTAAAAACATGTTAATGCAAAAATTGCCTTATGTGCAGTTTACATGTTTTCATACAATTTGTTATTTGAGTGTTGATTATTATCATTTAGCCTAAAAGTCTAGGCTCTGTTGTTAAGCTTTAATGTAGTAATGTGCAAGTAAGGGCTGTAGTTTACAGCTTAGCAGATAATTTTGTTATCCTTGAGAAACGTTTACTTGTAATTGAATTAATTTAAAGACAAGGACACAATTTGTTCATTAAAGCACTGTTTAATAAAAAATAAAAGCAATTTTAGCTTTCTAAACCCCCCCACCCCACCGAAATGAACCGAACCGAACCGAACCGAGACCTCAAAACCGTGGGACGAACCGAACCGTCAGGTTTGTGTATCGTTACACCCCTAATATATATATATATATATATATATATATATATATATATATATATATATATATATATATATATACACTGTTATTTAAATGAGAAAGTTACCACTCAATATTTAATATTCAATTATTTTAATTATCACAATTAAAGTTTTATTTGTATTAAATTGAACAAGCACAACATTCTGCATTCAATCAAATATTCTTAGGCATAAAAAAAAAAAGTTTGGTTCCGGTTTGTTGTCAGTTGAGGTCATGGGTCGGTAGGGTTTTTTTTCTTTTTTTTCAGTGGCAGCAAGGGATAGGTAGGAAATTATTCAGGGCTCGACCTTAAAGGAACACTCTTGACTTTTTGGGACTTTAGCCTATTCACCTTATCCCCCAGAGTTAGATAAGTCCATACATACCTTTTTCATCTCCGTGCGTGCTATAAGTCTGTTTGAAGCACCCACCGCTAGCCTAGCTTAGCACAAAGACTGGATGTAAATGGTTGCAGCTAGCATACTAATCCAAATAAGTGACAAAATAACGCAAACATTTTCCTATTTACATGTTGTGATTTGTATAGTCACAGAGTGTACAAAAAACAAAGTCACATGAGACACAGACATATTTTAACCGTATAAATACTGGGAACTATATTCTCTGAAGGCGAAGCACTGCTACTCGGGCGGAGTGATAACCGCAGCACCTGAGACGAGCCGTGGTGAGGAGCAGAGAGCGCGTCTCAGGTGCTGCGGTTATCACTCCGCCCGAGTAGCAGTGCTTCGCCTTCAGAGAATATAGTTCCCAGTATTTATACGGTTAAAATATGTCTGTGTCTCATATGACCTTGTTATTTTTACACTCCGTGACTATACAAATCACAACATGTAAATAGGAAAATGTTTCCATTATTTTGTCACTTATTTGGAGCAGTAATGCTAGCTGCAACCATTTACATCCAGTCTTTGTGCTAAGCTAGGCTAGCGGTGGGTGCGTCAAACAGACTTATAGCACGCACGGAGATGAAAAAGGTATGTATGGACTTATCTAACTCTGGGGGATAGGGTGAATAGGCTAAAGTCCCAAAAAGTCGGAGTGTTCCTTTAAGCCTTTTCATGTGCTTGCCCTCCGAACAAGTAAATCTGTCATTCACATCAAAAAAGTTGCTTGTCCGGATTTTATTTTATTTTATTTTTTTATTCTGAAGCAATATTCTCATCAGTGTTCAATCAGCTTTGATATTTAAATTGGCATATTGTAATATCTGCACCTTTGAAGGGCATCCCCTCCCCCAATCTTATTAAATGCCCTATAGTGTCGTCTTATAAATAATTGAATTTATTGATCAAATTTAGGAATTTAAAATGAAAGATGAAGCATACTGTTACCCTAGGTAGGGCTGATCAAATTAAATAATTTACACTGAAAAATTACAATTGCATAAAATAATGTTATGAAATTGATTTAAATGTACAAATAAGAAACATCGGAAAGAAGTATCCTAGGCTACTTATAAACATAACACTAAACTGCCAATAGGTGGCGGCAGGCGGCCGTATTAATGAGTGAGTCATTGATTCATTAATTCAAACGATTCGTTTAAACGGTTGATTCATTCAAGAATGAGACAGATGTTAATGAATGGGTCATTGAATCTTTGACTCAACCGATTCGGTCAAAATGCTGAATCATTCAGTAATGAAAACAGGTTGAGTGTTCCTGTGAGATGCGCCGTGGTTCTGCTGTGATTTTTGTTTGGAACTATTTTCGCTGCAGAAACAGAAAAAAAACAGCCAATATTGCATCTAAAATGTAAGTGACTTAATTTTAACTGTTTATTGAACTGTTGTAGGAAATTAATGTCACATTTTCAATCGTGATATGGTATTCAGGAAAAATAATTGAGGCTGCTTAACACATGTTAAAATATAGAAACTCCACATTTAGATTTTTTATAGGCAGTATGTTAACTGAGTGTGTGTGTATGTGTGTGTGCTCATGTGTGTAGATTTCTCCTTGAGAGGCTGCGCGAGCGTCAACAGCGCAACCTCACCGTCAGCAGGCTAATACATTTATTATCCACAAGTTAGACGGGCTCTGGAGATACGAAGCGCGGCAGGTTAGAGTGTTTTGGATTGCATAAAATAATAAAAGAAACAAATACATGGCGAAAGAAGTGGTAGACAGCAGAAGAGGGTATTGGGATGATTTTTAATGAAACTTGGGAGGCGGATGGAGGTTACTCTTTAACGCATCATGTGGTGTGTGTGTGCCTATGAATGCATGCATTTGTATGTGTGCGTATATGAATAAGTGTCCTAAATGACAAAAAAAAAAAAAAAAAGCCTTGTATACAGCGGGGGAAATAAGTATTGAACACGTCACTATTTTTCTCAGTAAATATATTTCCAAAGGTGCTACTGACATGAAATTTTCACCAGATGTTGATAACAACACAATGAATCAGTACATACAAAGAAACCAAAACAAATAAGCTCAGAAATTAAGTTATGTGTAATAATGTGAAATGACACAGGGAAAAAGTATTGAACACATGAAGAAAGGGAGGTGCAAAAAGGCATGGAAAGCCAAGACAACAGCTTAAAACTATTAGTAATTAAAAAGCAATCCAACCCCCTGTCCGTGCACATTAATAACAGCTGGTTCAGTCCCAACGGATGGCCTACAAAAAGGTCTCATTGCCAAGGTGTCACACAAGACACATCTCATGATGGGTAAAAGCAAAGAGCTGTCTCAAGACCTTCGCAACCTAATTGTTCCAACACATAATGATGGCATTGGTTATAGGCACCATTCTAAGCTTCTGAATGTTCCAGTGAGCGCTGTTGGCGCCATAATACGGAAGTGGAAAGACAATCATTTCACCATAAATTTGCCTCAACCACTGCTCCTCGCAAGATTTCTGATAGAGGAGTTAAAAGAATAATCAGAAGAGTTGTCCAAGAGCTAAGGATCACTTGTGGAGAGCTTCAAAAAGACCTGCAGATAGCAGGTACTGTGTTCTCAAAGAAAACAGTAAGTAATGCACTCCACCACCATGGCCCGTATGCACGCTCACCACGCAAGACTCCATTACTGAAGAAAAAAAGCATGTTGAAGCTCGTTTAAAGTTTGCTGCACAACATTTGGAAAAGCCAGGGAAATACTGGGAGAATTTAGTGTGGTCACATGAGAGCAAAATTGAATTGTTTGGATGCCATAATACACACCATGTTTGGAGGAGAAATGGCACTGCACATTACCCTAAAAACGCCATACACCTTGGTGTT